AGAGGGAATGATGTAACCGACGCTTAGGAATCTGTAGCACCATCGATGACCTTGCTGTGTGTGGCTTCGCCATTGCGGTAACATAGTTGGAAAGTAATGCACAGTAGGCTGCTAGACGGCTAGAGTAGTGCTTAAAATAAAAATCCTTTCTCCGCACACCATCAATCGAAGCGAATAAACTTGCATGAAGAACACCTCTAAGCAGTACGATTGGCGCTTGCGTCATAATTCTGCTTTCAATGGCGTGTACGATTGCCTGCACCGTCATTTTTAAGATGAGCAATCGTTTACTGATTGCTAAAATCACAGTAGTGAATGATTGCTGATATCTCAATCGTGATATTTCCTATCGAGCTCTTCCGCGATCATTGCGACAGCAAACAATCAAATGTGATTCCGATTTTATAAAAATTCTTCCTTTTCTACAATGCATCGCTGTATAGATGTGTATACTTCGTTGGAAATAAAGGGCAGGTTAGAAAATCCTCGGAAATTTTATTTTCTGCAGCATGGCTTTTATTACTAGCTTAACCTGGGACGCCGCTGTTTCTCGGCCGTCGGAAATGCCTGGCATTTAAGCCAAGTGGTGTGATTCCTTCTTTTGTTCTTTCTGTGCGCACATTGGTGAGTTCGGGCTCCTTCTCTGGTCGTGAATAATGGGAGGTGAAGTAGTAAACAACAATGTGCTTCTTACTTCGTTTTCGGCGCAACCTTATTGTGTGGCCGTCTTTAGACAGTCAACTGAAACGTTCCAAAATGAAAGGCAGTTTTTTCGATGGATAAGAGAGTGTCAAGTGTTGGTGAATGCCACAGGAATGCAGCCGAGGGGTTTAGCTTGACAGACAAAACTACACTCTCATCCAGTACTCGTTTGGTGAAGGTATTGGCTTAAAGACGATGCGTTAAGGCGAGCACAGATCTGTCGAACGATTACACCATAGTAAGCATGTCCTAGACGATATACGATGGTGTAGCGAAAGCTCCATTCAACAGTAAAAGCAGCACGGTTTAACATGGAAGTAATTTACGAGATGATTGAAAGGTCGTTGAAGTTGAAGTTCCTCGGTCTTCAAGCTCCGTAGGATATTGGCTTTCCGTGCAACGGCTTACGCGAGCTTATTCTACTATACAAATAAGACTAAACAGCAATACTGTCATATTACTATTCAATTATTCACGCAACTCACGTAGATCTTAAAATTGGAAGTTTAGGAAGAAATCTTGTGTACCGCCATAGATTGCTACCAGACACTTTGCTGCTGTCATTCTTATTTACAGGTCTCAAGTGGGAATTATAGACTAGTCCAGGAAATTCCCTCCTCTAGTGTTTAAGGAAGCAACTTAAAAAAGGAAGCATTTTCAAGAAGTCAGAAATCACATTTGATTGTTCTGATGTTAGATCCAGTATCAGCTGCGTAGACGAGGCCACGGGTGAAATAATCAGGTTTGTAAGGTTAGTACTCACCCAGCTGCTTAAACATATTCCAGCTCGCCTCACGAACATCCAAATGTTCCTAGAACGTCTACGTAACGCGTATCCTAACATCGCGTACGTGATGGATTCCTTCGACGTTACCGCTCTTTACATCAACATATCGAATGACTACTCAATGCAACCCACGTTTGAACTTCTTGCTGAACATGAAGGAAGAATAAATGTGCATGCTTGTTCATCCAGCAGCTTATGGCTCTCTTAAAAGAATGTCTAATCTGCTCGACCTTTAGATGATTTGGGAAATATTACACGCAAANAAATGAGAGGGCTGCCAATGTGAGAGCGGTTGGCGCGACTTGCGTTCATGTCTAAAATAGAAGCCCCGGTTATCGATCTCTGGTCGCTACACTATTGCAGATATACAGGTGAATCTTTTGTCATCTTCTCCATTCAAGAGGCAATGGACAAATGCTTTGAGTTATTGAGTGAGTAGTTCGAGTATATTAAATTCACCCGGGAGAAACCGAATGAGACCTGGGCTTCATTTTTTAACGCTCAAATAAACCTATCAAGTAGCGATTACATGACAAAGTGCTATCGAAAACCAAGTAACAAAAACATCTTGCTTCATTTCCTCTCTTCCCATCCTTCACACACAAAGAGGACGCTTGTGAGAAACATGTCTCGAACAGCCAGCCCTGTGTGCACAACCAGGGAACTAAAGGAAGAATCGAGCAACTTGGCTCGCGAAATAGCCATCCCCAATGGCTACGAAATGGTAGCCCCACGAGATAAATTTAGAACGAGAGCGACGCCCCAAAAGAAAGGGTTTGGCCGGAACAAAATCCCATTTATCTTGCCCTTCATTAGCAATGAAATAAGTGTGGCGTTAAAGCGATGGTTAAGAATGGTAAATCTAGAGGAATCGATAGCGATATTTGAAATACCACCAAGTTCAACAAAGGCCACATTTGGGCCTCTCAAAGAGGCCGCCGACTAACTGAAAGACCCAGGAATTCGCACATTTTCGATTCAACGATCCTCCCAGCGTTCTATTATGTTGCAGATACGTGGGCTGATACTTTAGCCACGTTAAGAATGCTTCGCACTACTTACAGGGCGCTTGAGCGATATCTTCTGAAATATGACCGGCACTCTCAATATCTAGCTGGAATGCGAAACTCTGACCATCGAAATCTGTCACATCTTCGAAATCCAAGAGAATATACATCGACAGCGAAGCAAAGATGGGCTGGTCACATAATGAGAAGAGTGGACGACAGATGGACGAAAAGAACAGTAGAGTGGGCTCCAAGAGAATGCAAACGTCGCCTTGGACGACCACCTACACGATGCGCGGATGTGTTCGTAAACAAAGTTAATCAGCTGTACCAGCAGCTGCCGTTTTTTTACAGATCACGGCATGAGAGTCGCACGCGCTACCATTCTGGAACAAAACCACCACCATAGACGACGATTGGGAGGGAAAGAAAAGATTGGCAAAAGTGCTGCGGGTCGCACAACTGGTGAAGACGGACCATCCAAGTATTCAAGGAAGTACGCGATAGCTCCTGTCAACTGGTGGTCCTTTGAATGCATCACGTGTTCCACAGAGAACTTCGACAATTTGAGGCGCGAAACCACCTATCTGATTATTGGATTAGGTGGAAGATCGGATCTCTTTCAATTGCATGATACGGAAAACACCCTGCGCCATCCTCTCGACTAAGCGTTAGATGACAATTTTTCATTCTTCTTGTGCAACCACCAGTTTTTCAGTGCGAATTTAAGGGAAGAAGAAATAAAGGAGTTTAGAAGGTGGGCATGAAACCACACGTTCTTAGCTCTCTACTCATCATTCTCGATGCTTTCCAAAGCTTTCCACACCGCTCGTTTCGTCCTTTTCATTTCTTGACTTATGCCATTCATCATGTTGCTATGCTGACGCAAATAGACACACCTAGATTATTCAGAAATATTTATTCTTATTAACATGAATGGGGGATATTACAAACAATTCAATTCCCACAAATATTACCTCATTGAAATCAAGGCGAAGACATTTTTTCTAAAATTATTGTGGAAATCGGCTAACATAACAAGAGGAATACGGTGTAAGTGAGGACCATCGGTTTTCACTCCCATATTGTTCCTTTCCAGTGTTCACACAACGTTCTCCATAGTGACGGTGAATAATTTTGTGGAGATCGTCTTGCCTAATATTTCCTTTTACACCGATATCAATATCGTTGCAGAATGGTGACATTTTTGTGGTGAAAATTTCATATGGCTCATTAAGAATTTTTATACACTGAGCGGGGACACTCGCACTGCCCAGAGCTTCCATGACTACAGCTGTCTCAAATGAGCAGTAATCATCCACAAGGATACTAAGATATGGGCAAAACTCGGAGCATCAACTGCGCTTCGAATCCGTGATTATCCTGTCCGTAAACTCACGTATTTTCCTCTACACCAGCCTTATCTCGGAATTCAAGCGCAGAGTTAAACGGTCCCTGACACTGTTCTTCGAATAGAGACAGCCATTAGGTATGTTAAAATTTAAAAGGTTCATTTGAGCAACTGCTTAGTTGCAGAAAAAAACGAACCTAGGAATGAGTTTTGCATGTATTTCAGCATCATTCAAATGATACCTTGTGCAAATTTTTACCGTTTAGATAACACGCCGAGTCTCGGAACGGAAGATTGCTGGATGGCATATCTGCCTTGTAGATATGAAGTGAATAAGGGTGAACTCAATTGTCAAATGTGCTGAAGTAAAATTTGTGTATCGCCGTCCTCAATACTGTTCTGGATACAGCAGTTGTTGCATTGAGTCTCATCGCAAGAGGCTATTTTAATGTAGTAAATTGTGAGCTACACCGAGGTTGCACTTACGGACCTTCGTAACCTTCCCAGCACTACATTTCCTCCCTACTTAAGATTTTTGTTATACAAATATACATCAAATATATACCCAACATATGTGAACATATGCAATAAGCGTTTATTTTTAAAAATAAATCACTTCATCTGTTAGTTCTGCACACGAGAGTGGTGAGATACGTCACTTACCTAAAACTGTAGAAATTCCACGTCTTAGATAGCAAAACTAAACCCGTTACTAATACGGCGATTGATTACGACGCGTGTATATAAGTATGGATTGGACACAGAAGAATGGGATCGACGTGGAACTCTTCTCGACCCCTGGAGTACGACCTCCGTTGAGGCGATGCGAGGTTGACACGTGTTTTCGTCGTTATTGTTGGTGTTGCTTGTCGATGGCTGAGGTTTTGGGGATTTTGCTTCCTCGAATCCTTGACGTATTTTATGTAACAGTGGTCTTATATTCGGTGAAATATTCATAGTGTTAGTGAAGGTCAAACTTTCAGATAAACGCCATATTGATCAAAAAGGCCACCCACCGTGCTGTTACGAGTTGGACTGACCGCGCGTTGTCCACGTGAACGGCGAGCGAGGTCCATCCAGAGGTTAAAATATCATTTTGAAATAAGGCGCCAGGTCACGCGTAATAGTGAACCATTCGTCTTTTCGGTTGATCTTTGGGTTCTTGTAATTAATCCAAAACGCCTCGAGTGTCTTGCGCGTTTATGGTGTTGATACCTGCGCTAGGATCCAGGCAATCACGCGTTGCGGAGTCATTCGACACGTTGGCATGACTCGTATCACAAGCTCGTGTTGACGAGAATGCCGACGCCACCTACTGTCAATCTACTGTATTATTGGTATCCAAGCATCTCATGCCTGCCGTTGTGAATATGTCCGCACTGACTACGTAATCGCTGTGTAGGAAATGAGGCCCTTTTTTCCTAATTTTTTTGCACTTCACTCAATAGCCATGTTATCTGGCGGAAGAGTTTGCTATGTTCACCTATTTGGTTGTAGGTTTTTCGAAAGAGAATCTTACTTTATCTACTTGAGATGACGCATATCCCCAACCCACAAACTTTTCCGTGCTTCGCCTACAAGAGGTGATGAATTCATACGTAGGATACAACCTAAATAAGGGCTGAAGTAACTAAAGCGCTTATGCATGTATGACTATGTTTAGGTAAGTAAGGAATGTAAATATGTGAGCTCGACACAATATACGAAAAGACAAGATTTTCTCTTAATCCACTCGCTTCTTAAACAAGTGAGAAATCAATTTTATTCCGCATACCTCCTTCGCTTTCACCTGTGGAATCCATCATTTACTCTCGCAACATACTTGCTGGTATTCCTTAGTAAAAGAATTACGTATGTTACAATTACGTACAGTAATTATGTAACTTTTCATGCTCTGCATTGAGTTATCTTTTTATATTTGATTAATTCTTCGACTAGCCACCGGCATATTAGTCATGGAAAGTTTTTCCCTCTTTGGGAATCGTCGTCGAAATCCGATAGTCAGGAAATAATGCAGTTTGACTTTATTTTCTTCGCATCTTAGTGAAGTGGATTTTCTTCCAATTTGTGAAGTGCTCCCATTTTGGCGCATCGTCAAGAAATTTGAGCATTGTCCGTCGTGCTTCACCGGTATTCCTTGAGAAGACAGCATTTTCGTCGATGAATCCAGATTTAATGTAGGCGAATTTTTCATAATAGTGTTTTCGTTCTAGTCGAAAGGCTTTAGTGTCATAATAAAAGTCTTTGGCCAAAAAGTGTTACTCTGTTAGGTTCCTTTTCTGGGAAGGATGAGAAGGGTTCAATAGAAACTGTAATACCGTGGTGACTGGATCATTCTTTAGTCAGTAACTGCAGAGAAATGCACATCAAATACAATTAATATAGCGAAATTCTAAGCGCAGTTCTATCTTCCAGCTGGTTGGTCTGCATCGAACGTCGTTGATACGCAAAATGAGACGATGTTTATAAAGCGGCCTTAACAAGTTAATAGGGCGGCAATTTTCTATACCTCAGGGGTCGTTATTTTCAAAAGGATGACCATTCATGAGATCCTCTTCTGGTTAGCTCTTCCTTCCTTTTGAAAACAAATGTGCTTCTAGTCGCTAAAAGTGCTTGTAGTTCATTATTTTCGTCTTAAAAGAAGTCGATTTCTGTTATTTTTCTTTTTGGAATTCTGTCTATCTCCACCTCGTGCTTCAGAGTGACGAATCTTGGTTGTTCTTTTCCAGTGCTGATATTGCGGTCTGCAATGGCAGTCACAAAACAGAAAATATTGGGATACAACTTTTTCCGCATCAATCTCATAAGTGTCATCTTCGTTCTTCAATTGTAAAAACAAGACGTTGTATTCGAACAGATCTTGATGGCTTTTTTAAACCGTTCCTTTTTGGAACTTATTCTAGCACTGTCTTTTTTCTGTGAACAGATGCAGCCATTCTGCTGAAGTAGAATTAAGCTGAGTTCGGCATCAGAGCAGATTTCGTTTACAGCTCGACAAGTTGGGTAACAGTGGAATTGATGACAATTTCTACGCCACCGACATTTCATATCATCACTACTATCGAAAATATCTCTTTATTTAAGTTTTTTTCTTATCCTTATGTTTTGCTGATTCTTGTTTCGTGCGGGGCGTTCATGTGGGATTTTATGCAGCATGCCCTTTCAATGAGTGTTGAAATCGAGCTTTGGAGAGACTGTTCTGCTGTTATCAATGCTGAGTTTAGTTCTGTTTCGTAGACGTCCTACCTAACCTGATATTTAATTGCTTCTAACCTGATGTATCACTGCTTTGCGTCATAAACAGATGCTTCAACTATGAGGTTTACTCATTACTAGTGGTCTATTACTGGTACTCAATTTAAATATTCTGTGTAGTCCAGACGTAGCCTTACCAGGTCCTTCCCATCGCACGTAATGTTTTTGGATCCGAGAGAAGTTTTGTGTTGGCAGCGTTTCTTGGAGTGAGCAGACCCTCTAGGCTATTGGAATACGATATATTAGGCGAAATAGAATTCTGTAATCGTAAAAGCAAAAATTTGGCAGTCTCCTTTAAAATGGTGTCGTTAGCTTATCAATGAAAGAAGGTCCATTGTTTATTCATAACAAGATTAATTGAAGTCGCTCTAGTTTACTCAGTGGTTCACTTCCATCTTCCGTAATTTTCGATCTTTTTGCTAAATCAGACACACTGTTCGGGTGTGTCGAAATGGAAATACTTTCGATAGAACCACCATACACTACGATTTTCGAAGTAACGAACAATTTTTCGATGTCTCTGACTACTGAAACCTTCGATAATACTGCTAAGGCTGGGGTAAGCTGCTATCAATTCCTTCAACGTCAGTTACCAGGGTGGGAAAATAAAAGTATGAATAGATTTCACAGGCGCACAGAAGAGGGCGAGCTGGTTCTGTCAAACAGTATTTTTTAAATGCACTACTACAGCCTGACAATGATGAGCACCTTCACTTGAGCTTCGTGGTACTGGACGCGAAGCAATGCCATCAAAGTCGCAAATATAAAGCGCATTCGAGAAAACAAAATTAGTAAAAGTATTT